TCAAAGCCGACGTGCACTTGAAAGCCATGAGGCCTCACACAGAGTGCTGTCATTCCAAATCAGCGGTGCCCTCTTGGACGCTCAGTGTCCTATCTGTACTTACTATATTGCATTCTAGGCCTTTCTGATGGGAACGTCAACAGAGACTGGTTTCCGAACAGTTCGTTCAGGATGAGAGAGGTTTTAGGGTCTTTGGGGAGTTTCTAAGCCCAATGTTAGCAATTTCAATGGATGTCGGATTGTCGGGAACCTACGCCCATGGGCCGATAATCAACCATCAGGAGACCCTCAGTAATGTTGTAATGAACAGCTTGCACAAAGGCTTCGTCCCCAGATACCGAGAAACAAGAAATCCAATGTGGTGCCTCAAGTTTCACATCCCGGAACGCTCGAGCGCAACCCTCTTCCTCTGGCCACATCTCTTGCAAGGAACGTCGGAAAATATCCGTCTTCTGCATAATGGACTCAGAAACCAGTTGGGAGAGCTGATATGAAAGTCTCATGTCTCGAATGACGGTGTGCTGGAGCAATTCAGGCAAGGCCTCCAATTTGACAACGAGGTTGTCGTGCACTGTGATGCTACTCTGAATGTAAACCTCCAATGAGGAGTCATCCAAGTCCGCAGGACGATATGTCAAATGCGTGAATGTTCTCTTGCACAAAAGAGCTGCCCACAGAGCGTATTGCTGGAATCTCTGCGCGAGTTCGGTCTCGGTGACTTTGTACGACTCCGCACGAAGAAGCTTGAACCAGCGCACACATGTTCCACGAGCCCGCAAAAGCAGAGAGGCAGCTTTCTCGGAGATTTCTTCCATCTGGGCAGCCCATGCGAAATCAATCAGACGTAGCGTCAACGTGACGATCGTTTCCATCAAGTAGGTCTCTCTCCAATTGGCGGAGAGGCTGTCTAGGCGGCTAGCAAGCTGTTGAATCAGAGCGTCGCAGAAGCCTGGGTCACGAAACACCGCATGAATAAGCCTAAAGACGTCTTGGGAAGCATCAAAAGGCCCACACTGAAAAGCCATGTGGCTCAGGAGTAACATTGTTGCTTCGTTGGAAAAGTTGAGGTTGGCGGAGCCCAATTCGGTGAGAATGGATAACCATCGCCTGGACTTCCCGGAAGCGATCGTCTGAAATGCCAGATACTCATGAACGTTGATCCCCTGCGGACATCTAGATGCCGTTGACATGATCTCGTACGACGAAGGGCCGTATATGTTCTTCAAGAAGATGTGGTCCTGGAGGATCGGCGCGAACGGTGACGAGCTGGGAATTTGCAGTTTGACCTGATGCAAGACGCTGAGATGTGACCGGCGACCAGGCCACTTCTTCGACAGATTGTCGTGGTAAGTGAGCTTCAGGCCGTTAGGACGACACGCGCCATTCCTTCCGTTATCCCACTCAACGGGAAACGCCATTTCGGTGTAATGCGTCATGAAAACTGCAAACATGTCAGTCCAACGGTCAAGTTTGACGTTTCGGTCGGGGAAATGAAATGGGTCTGAGCCTCCTCCGAGCAGTAACACTTACAAGGCTTTGTGACAGACGCCAGGGAACATCTCATTGTCGTTTCGTTGGCAAATCGTTGTAACTGCTGATACTCCCTGAGCCGACACTTGGGTTCGACACCTTCTTCAAGTGGTGAGAGGGCAAGGCGCGATATCGCCGTCCATGTCGTATCTCGGTAGGTTGCAAAGCTTTGAGGGCAAGCCAGCTCAAAGATAACCGCCCTGGCCACGTAGGGGTCGGATGGAAGCGGATGTTCGTACCCCTGGATCTTGATTCTTCTGAGTTGCCTCACCATGAAGCACCGAGCACAGTGAGGGTCGTGGATACCACGTCCGAGAGGGTTGTCGTCGTCAACCAAGTAGACACAGCTGCTCTCATCAATGCGCTGTGAGAGTTGAGCATATTCGTTGCTCTTCTTCTTCCATTCTTCTTCTTTCTCGTCGCGGATCTTGGTAGCCCAATTCTCAATTGACTCATGCAGATTCTGAAGCTGTTCGGAGATTGCCGAATCGTCGTACGCACGATGGCCATAGGACCCACGAACGGGGTCATCGAAGATGCTCATTGCCGAGCCCTGACATGATGCGATGCGATTCTGAATGTAGAGTTGGATCTTCTGGAGGCGCTTCATGTCCTCGAAGTTCGAGATGAGCAGGACGTCAAACATCTCGGGACGGAAGACGGGGTGGAACTCTTTCAAAAGAGGGTAAAGCCTGCAGCTTGCTTCATCCATGGTTACCCAAAGATCCATGACGTTCAGAATCATGGTACTTTTGAGTTCAGGCATGCCGTTGTACACTTCGTTGGCGTGGCCGAGATAACCATGAATGTGTGCGCTTGCCGTGTGGATTGTGGAATGTAGTGACTCCTTGGGCTCGATGCAGAATCTGGCCAGATTCGTTTCCATCTTGATCAGCTTGTGGTGGCGATGAGAGAAGGTACCCAAGTGCATTTTGGCAGCTTCAGCGATGCTCAGGGTTCCATTTCTATCCTCGCGGCGGTGTACAGGCTTTTTCCATCCCTTCCAAATGCTGTAAAGCTGTGCACCACTGACTTTGAGGTCGAACCTCAAGTCGCTAGGAGATGCTTGCCTCGGGACCGGGGGAATGGTTTTGGTCATGGCCAGCTTCTGTCGACTCCAAGAAGCATCAGTGAAGGCAGTAGCCTTGGAAACCGAGTGCTGAATTCCGGGGCTGAGATGCAGAAACAGGTACTCAATCCTCTGGACGACTTGACGATCTTGGGAGCGATCCTTGTCGACATCAAGCTTGACAAGACGTCGGCAAATCTTCTTCTTGAGAAAGTCAAGGCGCTCAATTTGAACACCAGAGTGCTGAACATGACTGAGGAATTCACTGAAGAGATGCGCCATCATGAACTTGTACTCGACTCGACCAAGCTCGCCCCCAAGCTGCTGGGCGAGGTAGCGTGATACGACGACACGCAGGACAAGCCAGAAAGGAAGTCTCTTCCACGGCTTTTCTGCGTTTTTCCAGCAGACATCATCCCGAACCATCTTTTGCAACAAGACTGGAGTCAGTCGGCGGCCGTTCTCTTGGAGGATGGCCATCAACATGGAGGAGATCAACGCAGGCTCGGAAGTGTTGCGGGTTTCGGCAATGGTGGTGCCGGCCTTGAGTGCAAGCGCGGAGAAGTCCATGAGCGACTCTCGCGATGCGCTGTCGAGGAAGCTGGCTAGGTTTGAGACAAATCCAGTTTCTTGAACGGTCGTGAGTGGAACAGCGACAGCACATCCAGGGAACTGCCACTTGAGGGCATTGTCGGTCGCCAAAACATCTTCGTTCTTGGCAGAAGTCTCAAAGGCCTCGAATATGAGTGAAGCACCAAGAACAGGGCTGCGAGAGGTTAGTTTACATGAGTTCAGGCAGCCAGACAGGGACAGGAGGACTTACTCTTCAGCGCGACGAATGAACAGAGCACAGTTCTGTGCATGTACATGAACAACAACGAAGTCCGCCTCTCCGAGGCCATTCAGCTCTCTAGAAAGCACGTCTCTGTCGACATGGCCACTGGAATGAATAATCCTTGTGGCCTGGAGTCCACGCTCGATAGCGTTCCAAGTAGAACGAAAGTCGTTGTCGGGCAGGTCTCGGATATGCTTGACACAAGCGATGAGGCGGTTGATCAGATCGGCCTCGATCTCGTTCAGGTTCGGATCCCGACGATGCGGTAGCTTGGGGGGCAGGACAAGATGATTGTACAAGGCATCTGAAAGCGACAGGGTTTCATGATGGATAGTGGCAACGGGCCTCGTCCGGGGTGGGATTGCGGAGGGCATCTTGCGTGATGCGTGATAAGGATTCGTACAGAAACAGCGAAAGAAAAGACGATGAAAGATAAAACAAACAGTGCAATACAGCAGGGGAAGAGGCGGATGTGTATCTAGACGATACAGGGTCAGGCAAGGCGTGGTGCCTCAGGCGGGAAGAACTTGAAGATCGGCTGGCAGGAGGCCGAACGCGTTTCGGGCTCAGACGATGTCGGCCCTTTCGCGGTCGGCGAGAGTTGGTAGGGAAGGAGTCAGTCGGTTGTGTTCCTTCCTCGACGGGAGACGGGATCGCCTTCGGGTAGTCGCAGTGTAAGTGAGAGAGAGGATGCGCGCGAGGGGGAAGGAGGCAGAGGCAGCTCGCATCACGGGGAGAAAATGAAAGATGAAGAGAAAAGAAAAAGAGAGAAGCTTCCAGGCAGCGACGAGATCATCAAGGCGAAAAGAAGAAAAAAATCACCCGTTGTGCAGTTTGCCAGCTCCTTGACGGTCGTTGGCAGTGGCAGCCAGTGGCCGCATGAAAGGCGGCTTCTGATTGGCCCATCAACTTTGAGCGTTGGTGATGGATGCACATATGAAAGAACAGGCCAGCATCAAAGACTTGAGTTATCTTGCGGTAGTTATGACTGCTTGTATCTTAAAATGATGCTAGAGTGGTAATTATGGGAGATCCCAAAGTCCTCTCTGCTCTGTCAGCCACTCCGTGTATTCATCGTGAGTGATCGGGATGGCAGAACGACGAGCCCATCAAGCTACATCCGTGAATAATTCACGCTCCGTTCACTCACAAGGCCTTTCAATTGGAGGCCGACCCTTTTTGCAGACTATGGTCGTACAGTTCTATCAACGCAAGGCAGACCGTTGCCTTGTTGGCAAGGGTTCTTGGTGTGCCCCACTCCATCTAAAACGACCATCACCGGCCTCCAAGGTCAAAGTGAAGAGTATGAGACAATTGGGGATGTACAAGAATATCTCGTGGAAATTATGCTTCTTTATTGAAGTATGTAATTGGATCTCCAGTTAACAGCCTGCGTAATCTCAGCGACCGAAAATGCGTGCGAAACTCCGTCAGACTCCCTCATCTCTCGGGTAGGTACCTTCCCGTCGGACATACACGCCAGGACCCCTGCATCGTCACACCCCCAAGCACAACTCAACTCCTCCATCATCCAACGAGGCATTCTTTGAACGGCTACCAACCTACTCAAGAGTAGCTGGCAACAGGCTCGCCCATGACATCCATTCGAGGCGTAATGCCCAGCCCCGGCTCTGTGGGTGCCTGTACACGTCCATCCTTGACTGTGAAGTTGCCGTCGGCAGTCTTGACCTTGACCATGTCACGACACTCGAGAATGCACCGTAGATGTCTCTCGGGGATGGTCTGCCCAAGATGAACAATAGCTGCAAATGCGACATCGGATCCTGTCGTCTCCTGGCAACTCATGGTGTACCCAGCTGCGAGTGCAATGTCCCTATGGCGGCGACTCTTCGTCAAGCCACCGTTCTTGGAGATCTTGATACCGAAACCCTCAGCCGCATCATCAGCAATCATATGCACGATGGACGCGTCGCTAGTGGCGAGTTCGTCAAAGTGGATGGGGACGTTGGTCCTCCGCCGCAGCGAAATGCACTCGCGCCACGTCGCGCATGGCGCCTCAAGGACAAAGTCGAGGCCGTCGGGGAGAAGGCGCAGCATACGGAGAGCCGTCTCGACCGTCATGCCGCCATTGGCATCGACAAGGAAGAACTCGCCCGGCTGCTTGTCGGCCAACGAGGCGGCGATGCGCTTGGCGTCTTCCACTGGCTCACCATCGATCTTGACAGAGTGCCCGATGTAGCCCCTTGCCCGGTGGTCTAGTTGCAAGAAGGGTTGTGACGCGCTCAGCTCATCTGCGTTGTCCGCTGATGTCGCCGGATGCAATGCTGACCACGGCAAGCTGATTACTTCTGGTGGCGAGGACTTCCGCCTGTCCTGCAGACACTGCTACCGCGGAGCCTCTGGGTTCAAGCTAACTGCCACCGCCATGTCTGAGTGTGCCAAGGCCTGTGCCGGGGACACCAACTGCCACGGAGCTAACTGGATGGGCCCTGACGGCGGCTGCTGGGCTCACCCTGAAAGAGACGTCAACGGCAAGACTCCTACCTTCTTCCGAGATGCCCGATGTGATGCACTGATGCCCCAGAGCCGAAGCGCGCCTGACCCAGCTATTGATGTTGACAACCCTGAAGTCACCACACGTCTCTGGTAAACGTCTGTTCGTAGGGGGGCAATAGGTTGAGGTGTGGAGTGTGAGAACTGATGGTCTGTGCAAATTTGTAGCAGTTGAGAAGAAGAGGTTAGAGGTCAAGTGACAGTGGAAGTGATTTTAGACAAGACTGATAACTAATATATCGAATGCGGCCATAATAAAATTCATGTATAAATGGGGATTCACCTCACAATGTTTGGGTTTCGTAAAACTCAAATGTCACGGGCCATGCACACTGGGTACGACATGTTTGCTATCACTACATAGTGGAAATAATCCCAGCACTTTAGGGGGAGACGATATTTTACAAAATTGGAACGAAACATGTCAGCATGGCTGCTCCAAATAAACCTTTTAGCCTTCACAATGTAACAGGAACCAGTAGCTCGCAGCGTGTTTGCGCCAGTTGCTGCTTCTTCTGCCACGAAGCCAAACATAGATCCGTACTAGCTGCTTAATAGTCCGAACACACATGTCGGGCGCAATAAAATAGTGTCAAAGAGCTTGGTGTGGTCGAAGATAGTCATGCAGCTCTTTTGTCACTCTCATATGAGCTCTGGAGGGTTAAAGGGCGATTCTTTCGTCTGGGGAGACAGACCTAGTGCGCCATAGACGGCTGTCACGCCGTAGTCTTTATAACCCAACGACCAGTGAACGAGAGACCGCACGCCGTTCTCATTACTTTTGCGAGTAAGCACCTAAACCAAGCCCATCACCTCTGCAAAGTGTGCAGCATAACCGGGGAACTGCTCTATACAGCTCACAATAGCGTCGAATATTTTAAACTTATACAGAGCGCCGAGAAAGCCATGATACCAACAGTCGGAATAGCCTCAGCAAGTTCTAACTCCATTGCAACTGAGGCATTCCGGATAAGACCAAATGGCTTTCAATCAGCTCCGATAAAGGCTCGACAGATTGCGGAACCCATGTAACAGTTGGAACCAGTGACCAAGACTGTTCGAGGAGAGTCGTTTGCAATCGTTGTTTTCGGATGTGAGATCTTGGTTGAGGCACTACTAGCTGTTGATGTTGGGGTTGTTGACATTCCCTAAATATTGTCAGACAGTACGTGTATTCGGTCCATTGGTTGAGTCAGTGTAGTCGTGTTGTGTTCGTGTTCTCCTTGAGTATCTGCCCCTGAAGGACCTGCTTTTAATCTTAAGATCCTTGACCCACACGTGACACCCCACATATTCAACAAATATATCTTATGAATGACTACGGGTCATCTTTGCTACTTCATTAAAATTGCATAGGTCAGAATGGTAACAGCTACCCTGTGCCTAAAAATCGTCTGGTCATCTAATTCGATAGATAGCAAGCCTGGCATGTTAACCACTTGTTGGTAGAGCCCACTCCCCCCACCATTATAGCCCGTTTTGCCTCATCACCATGATACCAGAGGGTTTGGGTGACGCTGGTAAATGCGCTTGTTTCCGAACTCCCGTCGCCCGGGTGAAGCCTCTATTGTGAGCTATGTACGTCACATGTTGCTGTAACATGACCCGCTGCTAGCGACTCTTCAGCATCGGCGTTTCGATGCTGACGTGGGCATGCTATCAAAACAAGCCCTTTGCGCTATAACCCAGTCCATCGTGTCTCGGCTTTCACCATCGCATCCAAAGAACTTTCGACAGCTTGCAACCAGAGACTAGCACTCTAAGTCTTCTAAGCAGGCGACTTCGAGAAGCACACTTTAATAGAGAGCCCAAACAAGCTCAGCGGAGCACAGAACTTCAGCTAGCTCCAGGGTGGTCATCAATTCCACCTTCCACTCCACATTTTCAATTTTGTGGAAGTTAAAGTCACGTGCGTCAATTCCATCAACTCCATTTCACCTTCACGTTAATGGGCTCAATTCCATCTAGATGCCTTCAACGTTGACCACTGGTTGAAACCATGTATGTATATATATATATATATATGTATATTTTTCGTCCGGGGGGCCGAGAGGCCCTAGAAGTCTCCTAAGGGAGCATAAAACGCGCTGAGCTACGGGAGTCTACCTATAATTTAACCATACAGTGTCCCCTATCTAGCATATCATCGGCATAAATAGCGCATTATATCGAGCCTATTACCCGTCAGCGGGTAGTCCAGGCACGGCTAGTAAGCAATAGCCGCGGGGCAGCTTATAACTAGGATAGTCATAGCGAGGGGCCGTGGTTGCCGATAGCTATAGTTAGATAGAGAGTATTACGACTCTCTATCTAGCCGAGCCTAGATAGTAGAAAGAGGTAATAAAGGAATATAAGAGAAGATAAGAGAGGGAGCAGACGCTAATATATCTCGAGTCGGTCTTATTTAATAGCGAGGGTAGATCCTATTAAAGAAAGCGCTTATCTTAGCTAACTTAATAAACCTATTAAAATCTTTTCTTAATACTAGATTTATTACTATATTTAGCGAGGGAATAAGCCTCGCTTAATACTATAGCGATACCTTTTTATAGTAAAAGATATAATTAGGTATTTTATATTAGTTATATAAGTAAATTATTTATATTTCGCTATAATTAAACCTCTCATAGTATATAGTAAAATCCCCATAGAGGGACTTTATAGCGAGTAAGTAATATAAGACTATATGCGAGAGTAATAGCTCCGGAGGGTAGGCTATTATTACCTTAAGATTTAATCTCTTATATTACTTAGGGGAGGCAAAAGACTATTAGGCTTTGAATACTTCTCTTAGTTTTTATATCGCGAATCTTTATAAGTAGGCTAATATTAGCCTAATACCCTTAGGCTTAGGCAATAAGGATATTACTTTTATTAATTTATTAGCTTATTTATTGCCGGGAATATTAATATAACCTAGAACCTAGTATCCTTTTATAATATTATATAATACTATTAAGGCTTAAAATTTAAGGAAGACCTCTTAGGAGGAATCTAATAATATACCTTATAGGTATATAATAATAGCGAGGTTATCTAAGTAGATAAAGATATCTTAGGCTAATAATTCTTATAAATTTAGGGTAGCCTTTAAACCCTTTAATATTCCTATTACTTTAATATTAAAGACCTTAGTTAATTTAAGCCGGCTAGATCTATTAAGGATAAAGATATTATTCTAATAGATAATAAAGCTATAGCTTATAGCTCTTTCTAAGGATAAAGAGCTATCTAAGTATATAACTAAGGTATATAAGTTAAGTAACTTAACTTAGCGAGAGAAGGTATTAATTAATTACTTTTTTAATGCTATTTATAGTGGCATTATTTATTCTTAATAGAAGCATTATTAAATAAGCTTTAATTATATATAGGGTATAAAGAGTTTATCTATGCGATAGAGATATATCTTAAAGCCGCTTTTTACCTATACTTAATATTTTCGCTTAATAAGATCATAGTAAGTAGGTTAGCTAGGCAGGCGAGTCTAACTTATTAGAGAGTAAGCCTTATTAAGTGACTTAAGTTACGCCGAGAATCTAAGTTACCTTACTTTAAGTAGCTAATTAACCGGCGATATCCCGCTTTCTTAGTAGAGAGTAGCGATTAATATTATCCTCTAGACGGGAAGTATAACTCTTATAGCCTAGTTTATAGCTTTTATTATTCTTTATATAAGATATTAATTACTTAATAATATATCCTTAATAGGCTAGCTCTACTATAGCCTAGTCTTGCCTAGGTACTATGCCTTAGAGCTATATAGTAGCACTAGCTCGATATATATTCTAATAGCGCTTTATATAGCGCTTAGGAGAGGACTATATATTATATTAATTAATCCTTATAGGTAATAGGCGATAGCCTATGCCTTCGCTACCTACTTTTTGATATAGATCCGGAATAATAGCCTACTATTAAGCTAGATACTAAGCTAATATAGAGCTAATTCGGGGTATTTCTTAATATCACCGTGAAGTATTATTAATATAGTCCTAAGTTTATTACGGGAGAAATATATAACTTTAGTTTTCTTTAGGTTAAAAGATATACTATTTTCCGCGCCTTAGTATACTATCTCCGCGATAGCGCTAGATATTATAGTAATACTCTTATCTATTATATCGCCTATGGATAGGATAGCCGTATTATCTGCGTAGCTAAAGCGGCCTTAGGGGTTACCTAGTCGGTAGATTAGTTTAGTATAAAATAGAAAGAGGATTAGCGATATCGGTGAGCCTTAGGGGAGGCTATATTAGAGAGGGGTAAAGGGGGTAAGGGTATCTTAATATTTAATATAGGCTAATTAATCCCTTATAAAGGACTCGGCCTATCTAGCTAGATAGTTAGGCTAGCCTTATTCGCGAAGACATAAGACTAATCTATTATATATAACGGTATCAAAAGTATTTTAGATATTTATTATGACTAGGGTAGCTACTTTCTTATATATAAATGCTTCTTTGATATTATAGATTAAGGCGGCCACTAGGTCTATTATTAACCTTTTAGGGAGAGCCCTAGCTTACTATAGGTAAAAGACGCTATAGTAAATAGCTACTTATAATAGATAGCATATAATTAGACGTTCTAGCCCTTTGCTGAGGTAAGAAAGCAAAGAGATAAGTCGCTAGGCCCTTAGCGATATAAAGTCGCGGCGTCTAGGTTTAGTAATTATAATTACTTCCCCCTCCTTAAAT